TATTTATTTATTTTAACGTTTTTCACACCTTTGCAATATAGGACTACCGACTATTTACCTTTATTTAGGGATTTGCAACGACCTAATGGGCGAACTTTAGAGTTAAGTGATCCTCAATTTAATAATAATACAGACTTTGAAATGTTTTTCAATAATTTAACGTATAAGCCAAAGAACTGTGAGACATGAAATACCATGTTTTCCAATTAGTCTGATGTACTCAACTGCATATCAAGTGTCTAACTTTAAAACTGCATTCATAATACTCGATATTATTCTAGGCGAAATAAAAAACATATCCTGGTAAAAAGTCAATGTAAAACAAAATTGATAATCAATCAATCTTAGATAATCATCTAAAAGAATAGAATGAGAAACTTTGAAAATGTTTGAATTCATTTCAAATATTTACTAATTTGGTTAATACCTACTTATATTTAATATTTAACAATCATCGACTCTCTTTTTAAATTATTCTATATATCTAATTGTCATATTCGGATTCGCATACTATAAAGTTGTGTAGAACGGCCATCATTTGTGCAATTATCCGTGCATCCTTAAATCTGTGAAGTATTTTACATAGCTGTGCATACATATATAAGAATATACATGGAAGAATGTTGAAATATACACCGAAGCTGTGACAGATGCTGCTCAATTTCTCAATCCCAGGCTCAGGCTTTCATACATATACTTGGTGACTGGTTGCTTAAAAGGAAGCTTGAATTTGTATATGGGACATTGGATACTTTGTACACAGCACTCAAAGAAGAGGCTTTTTTTTCTTAATTATTTCTTAACTACGCCTGTGTTTATTTAACGTGCATGAATACATACATAGAAACCCACACAAACCACGCAATATTGTTATTGAAGTCGACAATGTTGCAGTACATAAAAATGTTTGTTTATTATTGGCTGCTATAAACTGTATCTGAACCTTTTTTGGTTGCTCAAATAAAGAGAAGAGAATAGAACTGGCTGGCAATTATGCCATCGGAGAAGAGCGCCGGCAGCCGCAAGAAGAAGAGCGCAATGCCGTCTGCTCTCACAAATACTAGTATACCAAAACCGGCTTTCTATGTCTGTGTGTGGCTATGGGGCCACTCGACTCAACTGAGGCTCTATCGGTAACAGCTGCACCTCAGTTTCAGTTCCAGCTCCAGCTCCAGCTACAGCTCCAGCTACAGCTCCAGCTCTAGCCCCAGCCCCAGCCCCAGCTCCAGCTCGGTCTTTATGCTCGCTTTACCTTCAGTACCATTTCAACAACGATGCGGAAAACAACAATCAGATCGTAGTCCATTTTGTGTAAAGCAAACCTGTATATCGGTATAACTTAGTCTTGCAGTTTGAATTGATTAATAAATGTGTCTCAGTGTGGAACAGTGAATGAAAGTGTATTTAAACTGGGTCTTCACATTATACACAATATTGCTACAGAATGTTCAAGCTTAGCAAACTAAATACACAAGTTTCAAAATATTTCCTTGTTAATGTGGAACCAATCTGATGGACTCTAAAGCCATCCAGTTTGTTTGATCTACGAACAAGGTCGATTCGGGTTTATTGAACCGAGAAACGTGTTACGGCTGCCTATACTCAACCGCGTTAACTAATCGCTACAAATGCAACATGATTCCTTCATGATGCCTATGCACACTATTTTGTAAATATACTTCATTTTAAATAAACGAGTCAAATAAATATATACCGTGTTCGAGGCGAACCTAAGATCAAACAAACCTAATAAATAAGGAATGAAAAGTGAAATACCAAGGCATCTGAGCCATTTGACTATTCAAATGAAATCCACAATTTACATAAATATTATGCACGTTATATAATCGAGCTGACCTGTCTCAAGCCTCAACATATTTGACATCTTTCGCACACATTAAAGGTACTTAATGCTCTTTACAATTAACTTAAATTATCTAATACCGCAGCTGACGCTGGCGATAGAGCTAATAATGCGTATGCAACATCGAAATTCAATATTGAACACAGTGTAGAGCTTGAGTCACGAAATTTAGTAGTCTACCATTAATGATTTTCTTCTGAGGCGAGGCCGTGCCCACACCACTCCTTAAAACTGCATCGCAATTCTGAAGCCTAATACTGGGGAGTAATTAATTCATTAAATAAAAAACCTCTCTCTCTCTCTCGCTCCCTCTCTCTCCCTCAAAGTCCAGGAGATAAGTTGAGTAATGTGTAATAGCTTTGTTTTCGAACGAGCGAACAGACCAAAGTATAACAAGGCAAATAGCTGGGGCACACGAATGACACACTCTCTTGTCAGATGTGCATACTCATAACATAACAGAGTTACTAGTGAACAGCTGAAGAAAACGGCTTAAGCACGAACTCAATTGAGCTTATATTGATATGAGCGTTTACTATGATGCATGTATCTTAATGCATCGAGTTAGGGTAGGCAAAAACAACTCGAAAACGACCTTGTCTGACCTACTTAGTTCGCCGCAGTACTGAGGCTGACAGCTGTGCGGTATTTTAAAATTTATGTACGAAGCTTAAAAACTTATTTATATAGCAATCATTTGATGTGGAAACCCGTGCGTGTTTCGAGTTTTGCAAATATTTTTCCATTTGGCAACGCCAACAGCGCCGATAGTACAAGTCCAAGACCAGGTAAACGAAATCTATGTGGTACGGGCCTCAAGCCACAAGGCAACCGCTGCTGCTCACCGCTGCCCGCCGTTGCCAATAGCCAACAATAACACATTGAGTCGCTATTGCGGCATTTTTTCCTTTTAAGAGTGCTTATTTAAGACTTGCGAGTGTCGAAGGGGGCTCCACTCTGTTGGTCGATAATGATTTATGTAGCACTTAAGCATTCAAATGTGAAGTCAGGAAGGCCCAAAGTCCTAATGATGTGCTCTCGTATTAAACGCTGAATGCCGTATTTAAAAACTATTCAAAGTGAATAACTCCTTCCTTCTTGTTTCGAGATTATTATTATATTCAGAATGCTTGTCCAAGTTTGTTGCCTAAGTCTTTTGTTTTACTGCATGTAACGAAAAACGTTTTCTTTGCTGCAAATGAATTGCTGATGGAAAACCCACTCTGAGGCCTCACGGACGTTGCTCAAATGAAACAGAAATTTGAAATTTTGAGCACAGTCACCAGCCAGAGAAGAATAATAACAACACGAGCTCAACACAACGAAAATCTTAATGTCGGACGCCCACAATGTTATGGTCGTCATTGTCGCTGTTCTGCTGCTCTGCTGTACGGCAACAAACGCCATCGTCATCATCGGCGCCAGGCAGTCCTCTCCTGCTCTTCCGCGAGTCTTGTCCACAGAGCAGCTCAACTGCTTTGGCTGGGTTTAAGTGAAAATGATTTTGTACGCTATTGATCAGAGTAATTGGGCAAGACAGCGCTTCGGCAAGCCCATAGTCATGACAGCAAATAGATTTTTAGCACAATTCCGCCTCTGTGACCGTTGGCAATCTTTGGCTCTTGCTCTAGGTCGCCTGCCCTCAGTGCTCTCGTATTCGTCAGTAACAGCGGTTGTTTGCCCGTCTGCTTAGTTTCCTTCCCTCGCAGACGCAGACGCAGACGGCAATTTGTAAAACTTGTTTATTGTTCGAGCTGGCACAAAACCCTCGCTTTCATATACACGAATATATATGTACAATTGGAAGATTGAAATCTGTGGTACTTTTTGTTTTTTGTTTACATTCCGAAGGAGCACAATTTCAAACATTTCATACGTAATTTAAGTCTAGAAAAAGCTTTTTATACTTATTTATAACAGTGTATATTGGTATAGGCTCGTGAACCATTTCCCGGCCTTCGCCTGTCTCCTGAAAGCCACAAGACGGCATTAGTTAAATCAATTATTTTCATGTTTGCAATGACCAGGGAAATGAAGCAGCTATAACAATAAAGTTTAGATTGAATTTCCTCGTCGACTTTGGCAACTGGAGTCCCTAACCATCGCCAGGCAGCAGAGTCTGTAACGAACTGCATGGGACTTTAGTTAAGGTAAGGCTATCCAGCCATCCAGCCATCCAGGTATCCAGGTATCCAACTGGCTCTTTGGCTGTCCCACGCACATTTTTATAACTCTTGTTGAAGCTTGTGCTGTCGTTATTGTTGTTATTGCATTCATTTGCGAGGCTTTTATTCACCTTTTTTCTGCATTTCAATGAAACTTGGCGCTGCTTTGGTGCCCATTCCGTATGCCACCTCCGATGCTAAGAATCAACTCTGAAAAGAGAAACAAAGCAGCAGCAGCAGCAGCAGCAGCATGACAGTCCTAGAGCTACGAACCATATTTGTAGTAGAGAGTATCCGACTGGGACACATCCTGTACCAAATATTGAGCCTAATGTGTCTGTAATATATTCCGTCATGCATTCACAGAGATTAGAAAATTTAGAAGCAGGAATGAGTTGGACTCCTGTTCACAATTCGCTTCTGATACTCTACATATTTTTCCAGAAACTCTTTTCCATTTGCTACAGGGTATTGGAAGCACGACGCGCGGATTATTCAAAACTTTTGGCTGCTACAGACTAAGAGGAAGGCGATGACGGCGTGGATCTTGAGTCTTTTAATGCTTATCATGACTACGATGATGAAGTCGACGTGGACGTCGACGGTCGACTTTGGCACCGCAACTAATCGAGTGACTTTCTGGCCCTTGTCCAGCCCCCATGGCTTGGCTTAAGGCCCAGCGCGCATATTTGTGCAGTGTTTGTGCTTTTCATTTACAATCGACTGAAAATTACGGCACAGCTTGCCCCATGTCTTAGGCGTTGTACGTTGTTAATTATAAATTCCGCATAGAATGTTTGTAATGAACAATTCACTTTATCTCATCCACTTTGATTGTGATTAGAAATAGGTGCGAGTTGACCGCTGACTGTTCCCCATTATGGAAACATGGCGAATAAAGAACACATTTTATCTCTTAGAATCAAACGCTTCCTAATAGATGACATTTCTTTCATCATATGCTCATCTTCATATAAGAATGCTTTGAAAGTAATTTAATATTTAACGAAATTTTACATTTATCTCATCAGAAATCAGAATCAGAAATCAGAAAAATATGGACTTCCCCATAAAAAAAATACTCAAAAAGCTCCAGATATTTTAGCTTCTGTGATTACTTGAGAACCAGAAAACAGGACCATTCGATTAACAAATTATCACGCAGCCAAATACATATGTATAGTGTACGAATTTATTGGCCTTCTATTGCGACTATAGAGCTTTTTAAAAGAAATATAACATTCAAATTATGGTAGATGTAGATGTTTATATCCAGATCTGATCAACACACATACGACTTATGAAGATATCTGGAGTCATTTAACCAAAATTGGGTACTAAATTTAAGTATTCTAATTTGCACTGCATGATAGATGTATGTAAAAAACTTTTGGAGCAAATAATAGCATATCCCATAGTCGATTCTTCGAAATTTGCAACCCACGGCACACCCAAAACACACCCGCAGCTGCAGCAATAAAATGTTTAAGCACACATGTATGCCATAAATATGTACATAAATATGCAGATACACACACCGAAAGAGTAGACGGGCATAAGCCCACTGACGAAGTGCCCAGACGCACTGAAAGTCGGATAGACAAAATTCAAAGACGGACGCGCCCAACAATCGCCCAGCCATAGTGAAGGCAGGAAAACACGGACAGGCATCTGTGCAGGCATGGTGAAGGACGGCCATATCACGGGACGGGGAGCAGGGTACGAGAGCAGCTAAATAAAAGTTGATTACGAGTCTGCGTCGCTGGCTCGTTGCCAGCCATGCAGCCAGCCAGCCAGCCTACCAGGCATAGCTTGCTGGTTATATGACTGGCATTGTCGTGAAGCAGATTAGTTTGCCATCGGGTTCAACTTTATTTGCAACACAAATTTTCATTCTAGTTGAATGTGCAACCACAGCCGGTCATAGCCACAGCCGCAGCCGCAGCCGCAGCCGCAGCCGCAGCCGCAACCGCAGCCGCAGCCGCAGCCGCAGCCGTAGCCGTAGCCATAGCCATAGCCATAGTCGCAATCCAAAAACAGACAAAAGTAACACAGCTCACAGCTAACAGCTCTCAGCTCACGAAGCTGCTGCATTTTCCGCATGCAGACCGCGAAGTCAACCTAAAAATTGAACAACGCCCAAAATCTTGTTTTGCTGTGGACTGAACTCACGATTTTTGGCGCGGTCGCGAAGCAGACCAGACTAACTTCGAAAAACAAGAAAGGACATTAATCGTATCGGAGCGAAATACAAAAGGCAAAGCTCATAGCTAAATTCATATACCCTTGAGGAGATAAGAGTACATGATTATCAATGTTTTACTCTCTTTATGTATAGTCTATTTGAATGAGAAATAACATTAAAAAATTTTTATAAATTGTGTATATCTAAGTAAAATATAGACATCATTAATTATAGGGTGTATCTTTATCTCAACTCAAAATATTTATATATAGAATAATTCTTGACTGGCTGTAAGATTAACACTACGCAAAATTGTATTTTATCCGGATGTAATGAACAACTGTGGCTTTCCTTCCAAATAATGTAAGTCTTCCCTCCACAAATGCATAATGTAAAAGTTGCCTGTTCCATGGCATCCATTTTAGTATCTAGAGCAAATAAGAATCTAGAATCTAAGGCATTGAGAATCTAGGGTATCTAGAGCATCTGGTGTTTCTGTTCTAAGGTCTCTAATCGGTATCTATCTATTTAGGAAAATCATTTCATTTCATTTATCGATAAGCGCTGAAAAAAATTATTTAAAGGAGAATTTTTAAACGCATTATTTAAATATTATTGGTAAATACATATATTACATTTTCATAAATTTTAAAATAACTAAAAACCCAAACATTAATTTAAAAAAAAAAAACGAATAGTTTAGTATTTGCTTAAAATTTAAAAAATAGGAAACTAAAGCTTGATGTAGTTCCTAATCAATTTAATTGAAATAGGTGTGCTATAGTAACAGCATAGACAAGACACTGGTATTTACGACTCGACTGTTAACACTGATCAGCAGTATATACATATAAACTGTACGCAGCAGCTCTTATATGGGTACTTACATTCTATCGCAAATCATTTCATGTACAGATTCTATTTAAGTATATGTATATCGATAGCATTATTTCATCCCAAGTCATTCAAATTTAAATAATGCTGAATCTTAAAATTGATTGATACCCGCTAAAACTTAAGGAAAATACAAGTTAAGGATCGACCGAAATGTGAAGTGCACACACAGTCCAGCATTCGCCTAACCACATCGTATCAAGCAGTTTAGCTGGGGATTTCCATTCATATGTATGTTAGGAGAAATTAAACAAATGGCACAAATATTGTTGCGCAATATTGTCGAGGTCTTAAAACCAGTAAAATCGAAAGAGTTGCAGGCAGGGACAGGAGACATGTATTGCAAGTGGGAATGAGACAAAGCCTAAGGTTGAGACCGATACGAAGACCGAGACGGAGACTAAGACTGAGACTGAGACTGCAACTGGGACTGGGACTGGGACTGACGCTTTACTTACAAATGAACACTTACACTCCTATGTATCTTATGCTGGAGCCTGTCTAATCCAAATGCGGGCAAAACATAATATTGCAACATACTTGGCCGTAAATTCAAACGGCTCAGCGCCAAATGCGAGGGTTGCGAGGGTGGCCACAAGCTGGCTTGTTGGCTGGCTGGCTGGTTGGCTGACTGGCTGGCTGGTTGGCTCGCCTCGCTTCACGTCGACTCCATCCAAATCGACTGACATAACTGGTCATTCGCATGTAGCTAGCTGCAGCTAAGGACACGACAGTGCAGCGCACTGCAGCTGCACAAACTGGAAATTCGCAAATGCAACCAGCATACAAGCCAGACGGTTGTTTCGACGGACAAAACCGGATTGACAATAAGTTCGAGTTCGCAGTTTGAGCAGTATTAAACAAGACGCAAATGGAGACGCAGCGCCTGTATATACTGTTGCTCATTTCCCAAATTCTGAGTCGAAGAGTACTGCATAAGAGTTAAGGTCCCATCCTCTATGCAATCCCAGATGTATTTATCTGTACTTTTTACATTTTCATTATTCTTAAAGCAAAATTTTAAAGCATTAGTTGACCCTAATTTCAATCCAAGACTTTATTAAAAAATTAATTCATTTAGAATGGCTTCTTATTTGCTTGAAATATAATATTTCCTTAAAGCTAAGCATCAAGAAATATTATTCTATATTCTCAAATAAAAAAATTTAATTAATTAAGTCTTGTACAATTACTGTACGGTAAGCAGTGCCATAAATAAACTATGGGAATTTCGATAGAGTATATTGTACAGTATCGATATCTGAGCTTCAAAACTTTCCAGTTACCAGTTGCCCATGGTCCAATTTCTAGTATTTGATTATACATAAATGACCACGCTAAAACATCGACAAACCCATTTTTGCTTAATAAACTAGAGTTTGCACAAAGATTGAATATTCTTCCTACTGTTCAGTATTATAGTTAAATCCCTAGCTAAAGCAGCTTTACATTATGTTTTGTATTTCTGGATGTGGAAGTGTGAAGTTTGTTAAAGTAAGCCGAAGCGCAGCTCCACTTGTGCTACTCATAAAAAATGTTCACTCTGAGATACATTTAAGTACCGGTCGTAATTGTTACACATTATTTCACGTTAAGAAACATGTCGGGCCTGAGCAGAGGAAGACGTGACCACTTAATGTGCTGTGCCGTTCGACTTAATGTCTCACAATGCGTTTTTGTTTCGAATCGATACATAATCATCAACTATTGAGGAATTCAGTTATTTGTCAAGCATTCTGTAGAACTTGTTCATCCGACAGATAAGTACAAATGCGAATTCGTTCGATCTGTATTTAGGCTGTGTAATTTTTCTTTAATCGCGTTAATCACAGCAAGCAAATTAACTTGCGAGCTCTTTCAAGAAAGAAAATACATATCTTTGTATGTATATATTCAGTGTAATGCACTTAGCTTATCAGAGAGTATATGTTTATTTCGAATTAAAGCAATAAAACTATTTAACTGTCTGGCTGGCAACCGTTCTCGAAGTTCTTGTTCCGCATGCTAGATGATCTATATCAGTACATATGCGGCACAGCGTACGACATAACCTACTTATTCGAAAGTAGTTTAAGCCCGTTGCTCAAACTAGGTCGTAAGACGTTGTCAACTCCGTGTTGAGTGCGATGTAATTGTCAAGGGCTAATATCTTAAGGTTTTTAGAACCTTTCGAAATCCCCTTACATCAAACTTTTTTCTAAAACAAAATAAGTGTTTTCTTTCTTTTATTTATTTTTTTTCTTTCTTAATGAATTTATTTTGCAACATAAATTTCTTGATAGCAGGTCACAATCCTAATTAAATTTAAGGAATTTAAAATGATTATCTAAAATGAGTTTAGTAAGGTTTTAGGAGAAAATTTAACAAATACTAATAAAAAAACATTAACAGAGCCTAATAGCAATTGCTTTTAAGATGTTCAAATAAAAATGTTTATAGAAGATCAATTGTCATCCAGAAGATCAATTTTTATCCGATACTACAAAACTCATTTATGTTTTCAAGGTAAGGAAGCGCCGATCCGAAATAAAAGCGAAACTTGAAGAATATCAAATTATTATACAAAAATATTAAAAGTATAATTTTCGATTGTGCAAAGAACAATTGTTAGGAAAAAGGTACTTAAGGAATGTACTGCAAATTAAAGCATTTTACTTTGGTTCTATTATATTCTATCCGCGCAGTTAATGAACGTAAAAAATTGCATGTATTTTAAGAAATATATCTTCGTCTTTCATTGCAGCAATGGCTTCCAGCAGTAGCAACATTTTCCGCAGAAAAAGTCACAGCCTAACACATGAGCCATATTGTGGTCTGAGAACCGCTGCAAGCAACACGATTTCAGATGCTAGCAAGCGAAGGCAAGAAGAATGTTACTATCATCAACCACCTACCTCCCAGCTTCACCTTCAGCTTCAGCCTCAGACTCAGCCTCAGACTCAGCCTCAGCCTCAGCAGCAACGTCAGTGTCGGCCAACTTTACAATTTGGCCCATGGCTGAGCGCAATGACCGCCTATCGATTGCTGACAATCAGCCTCCTAATTGGAATTCTGTGTCTACATCACGTTCACGGAGTGGATCCCAAATTCGACCCCTCAACGCGGATGAGACTAGTTCTGGTGCCGGCTGACGCACAGGTCGGGTCTGTAATCTACAGATTGCGTGCAACCGACGAGGAGTTCGACTATCCATTGACCTTTGAGTTTATGGGTGATGTATCCTCGTCCACCTTCAAGGTGGAATCGCTTCCATGTACCAAGTACAATTCCGTCTGTCAAGCCAACGTTGTGCTGCAACGACGCCTTGAGTCGGGCCGCTTCTACGATTTTCAAGTCTCGGTTAGGGACACAAATGGTGGCATGGCTACGCAATTGTGTTCAATTACAGCAACCAACTTCAGTACACCGCATGACCTAATATTTCCACATAAGCCGGGCATCATCATGATACCTGAGGTGAGTGCAGATCAAAGATCTAAGTCTTTAAATTATTTTATAAACAATTTTCCTAAGAATTCCAATTCATTAAATTAGTCACGAGGCCTTTACAAAATATTTATAATTTTCTAAATACTAACATATTCACAATTTACGAATATTATATTTTTAATTGCTAACTCTAGGATGCCAAGAGAGGTACAGAACTTGATTATGTAATTGCCAGAAAGAATCCACTTTTTCAAAAGCCAGTCTACCTCGAGTTATGGGTGAGTTGTATTGGGAGCGCATGAAAATAAATATTCAAATGTTTTAACTTTAGGGTTCGCCCTTATTTGCCATAAGACAAAAAATTATATCAGCGGAAACGACGGAAGGAACCGTGTTCCTCTTGGGTCCCTTGGATTTCGAGAAGCAAGCCATGTACCACTTAACAATTCTTGCCAATGTACGTAACTCCCGGTTATTAAAGGGTTTATGGTGCATAACTATAAGTTTAATTCCCACGTAGGATGCATATGCGGAGCCTGGACAAGATGGGCGCAATATTGCTGGCATTGAAATCGTTGTTATCGTCCAAGATGTACAAGATCAACCGCCTGTATTTACTATAGCTCCTCCAGTTACAAAGCTGCAATCCGGCATTCTTCCAGGCGATAAGGTAATTTAGAGATATGTTACTTAAGAATAAGAATGTTATATTATACTCGAATCCTAGATATTGCAAGTCCATGCGGAAGACGGGGACAAGGGAAACCCGCGGGAAGTGCGATATGGCCTAGTTTCTGAAAATAATCCATTTACTTCTTTTTTTGACATCAACGATACAAGTGGTAAGTCGATTGCATATACATATATTACCCACTATTGATCGAGCAAAGTGTAACTACTCTTTAGATAAGATTATTTTAAGGATATTCTGTATACTTTATATCAACAATTGAGTATTCACTTACATGAATAAAGTCTGAGAATCGACTTACATATCTGGTGGATTTGATTCATGTATGTAAATATTTATGCGAGACTACGAAATTCACTGGGAGAAGCTTCGAAATGTTTTGAGTAGTTTTAGTATAGGCATATCTGCTGATATATACATTATGTAAAGGCCAAGCGCATTAAACAGTCGCAGATTTTTTGCTAGCTATAGAATGGAAAGGAATAAAAAAAAAAAAAAAACAAATTTGTTCCCCTTTATACAGATTTTTATGCGCAGAGTAGGGTATAAAAAAGCGAAACAATGACATCAAAAAGATATTAACATAACCACCAGCAATCGAACGGGCCAGCTTCAATCCGGTCCATCGCTTAACTCGTTAGATGGCAAAGCCATCTTCAATGTGCGCTGTGACCAAGTTCTGGAGCTGCAATTTAGCTCTAGGCTCCGCAACGACTTTGCCTTCGCCATCGCTGTCGCCGTCGCCTTCGCCCTCGCCCTCACCCTTCCCGCAGTCGCAGTCGCAGTCGCGTCACAATGATTGCGGTTAAGCTTCCTTGTTTCGTGCTTCTCTGGTTCATTGCCAGTTTGACGGCCATGACTCTGGCCCAGGCAATGGAACCTCTTCAGTCGGCTCTCTAGATGGCGGCCTGCTATTGCGCTGCCTGCAGACGAGGCCGCGAAACACGTTGCGCCTTGGCCCAACTGCATTTCTGTGCATGTGTGCACTTATAAACTTTCGTCGACAGCCCTCCCCCGCCCCCGTTTTAGCGAAAATATGCAATATTCTCGTTGAGTTGTTGCGTATTTCAGCGATTTCATAATTGATATTTGTTGCTCATGATTGTTTATCAATCGGAATTCAGTGGGAATTAGTGTAAGCAAGCATTTTTGCAAATCATCTTTACCATAAATTGTATATAAAATGAGGTGTGTCATTTATTCAGACAGAAAAAACTAGTATAGTTTTCTCACTTCGCAAATGAGTGTAAGAATTAACATTATCGTTCGGTTATTGCATCGAACAGTCAATTACCATGAGAGCAGGGGGTTTTTTCCTCCAAAGAAAAAACTGTTCCCAGGGCTGTCAAGTGAGTTATGCTTGTTGTGAAAAAGAGTTGACTTCAATAAATACTCTGTAGAAAAAACAGTATTCCCATTTCCGCAGAACAGATACATGAGCTAGAGGCACAGCGCTTGGTTGCAACTACATGCGGCAAATGGAAGGTGGAATCTCCGACCGCATTAAGCCTATCTACTCATCAATTCTGTCTGTCCCACAGATGAAATTTGTAATTTTTTGTTCACTTCTAGGACCAATTCCCTAGGCAGAGCAGAGCAATAAACTGATTTTGATAACACAGAACTTAAGATATACATATTTTTACTGTAGCAGTAAATTCTGATGTCTGAGACAGCCAATCCTTTGTCCTCCAAGCCACATTTATAAGTTGAATGAATTAAGTTATACGATTTTTATGTATCACTGGGTCAGGTTTTGAATTCATTAAAGGCTTTGCGTGTTTCGTCTTGATCGATTGAAGCGATTGAATCTTCTTCAAAATGTCAACTTATGGGCAAAGCTAGTATATAGGATTACTTCTGTAGGAAGAGAACTAAATCATGTAAATAATAACAGTATTTTAAAACTCAGTTCAGTTCGTCTTTTACGCAATATGTAGTCTTTGTAGTAATATATATTATTTCTAGTATATGTAAGAAAAAAGTAAGCATCAGATTCGAAGCTTTTCCTGTTCAAGCATTCCCTCCTGGAGCATTCTTACTACTCGAATCTGTTGCAAAATGGAATCAAATTGAAGAACGAATTGAGCATCTTTCAAATATACACTTTAATTTAAAATACAATTACGTCATTTTGCAGGTGAAATTTTTTTAATGAGACCACTCGAAGACATTGCAGCAATCACGCATGCGGGCGATCCCGTCTTACTCACTGTAATTGCGGAAGAAGTTAAAGTCGGTCGTGACGAACCCGCAGCGATGGCTTCCACAGTGCAATTGGCGTTCTTCCTACCGGACCGTACCAACTCGCCTCCTTACTTTGAAAACGATCAGTAAGTATTCGATGCTTGAAAGGGATAGAGTGATCGCATATTCGTACACACTTGCAGCTCTTGCTATGATAGACATTCATGCGAAAATGTTTATAAGCCTTTAAACAAAAATCAATTATTCGGACTCAGAACAATGATCGTCATATGATGGATGATATTTAATGTAAAGTCAGAGGGTATTTGAAGAACATATTTTATATATATTCCTAATTAGAACAATAATCAAGCTTTTCACCGTCTCTTCTTTTCTGATAAATATTTTGATTATATATAGATATACTCTGTAGCACAGTGAACGTGTATTGGTTTTGAATCTGAAAATATATTTTATATATATAAGATTTTATAGCGTGAATTAGCATTATGCAGTTGGTACAAACCGAGTCTGTTCACGATCAACTTCTAAGATAGCCCAAAAGATTGCAAATATTAATTTAGGAAACCCGACCCCAAAGTAAATGTCTGGAACTGTTCATGGAGTTTCACTCTAACAATTGAATATGCTTTCTTGTTATATTTAAGCTACGTCACAAGGGTTGACGAGAACGCCTTGCAAGGGACAGCGCTGACGTTCATGGACCCATATGTGCCCAGAGTGTATGACGACGATACTGGGAAGAACGGCGTATTTTCGCTTACGTTGCTGAACAATAATGGAACGTTTGAGATCACTCCTAATGTAGCTGAGCGGAGCGCTTCGTTCCTTATTCGTGTACGAGACAATTCGTGGCTGGACTTCGAGCAAAGGCAATCGGTTCAGTTTAAGATTCTGGCCCAGGAATTGGGGCCAGCCACAAATCTTTCGGCCATGGTTAACGTCACGGTATATATAAACGACATAAACGATAACACGCCCGTCTTCGATCAACCGGGCTATACGGTAGAGCTGCCGGAGAACATGACGGTAGGCACAAAAGTCGTGCAGGTTCACGCCAGCGACCTCGACACGGGATTGGGTGGAAAGGTGCGATATACAGCAATCCTCGGATACCTCAACACTTCTCTCAACCTGAATGCGGAGACTGGCTTGATCACTGTAGCGACCAACAGCCATGGATTCGATCGCGAACTAATGCCCGAGTATCACCTGTATGTGGAGGCTCGGGATATGGACGGTGCTGGAAATCGAGCCCAAGTTCCCCTCATCATCAAGCTCATAGATGTAAACGATGAAGTGCCCGTCTTCAATAAGGACCTGTACGAGTTCATACTCGCAACAGACCTAATGGGCTTTACAACCAGCGCCTTCATTCATGCCACTGACAAGGACGCAACAGCGCCGAACAACGAAGTGCGTTACGAGCTGATCAACGGCAACTATCAGAACAATTTTGTACTGGACAAGGTGACGGGCGAGTTAACGGTCCGGGAAAAGATCAATCTGCGCTCTAAAAAGCACGCCAGTCAGCGAAGGCGTCGAAATGTTGACTCCACGCCGCCAATCGGCAATGAAGACGATTTATTCATACTGACCGCTCGAGCTTACGATTTAGGAGTACCAGTGCGTTCATCGACCACCTCCATACGCATTTACCCACCAGAGAGTCGCAAGCGCATTGTGACGTTTGTGGTGCCTGGCAGCAAGCTGGACAAGCGCAAGACAGAGGAAACACTATCGGCGATAACGGGCGGAAAGGTTTACATCCATGAAATACGACCATTAAGGCCCGAGGAGCCGGGGGCTAAGGATATACCCAATGACAATCCGAACATCAAGGAACGCAGTGTAGTCACAGCGACCGTGCTGTACGACAGCTCATCCGTGGTTGACATTTCGCAGATACAGCAGCGACTCTCGCAGCACAATAACTCGTACGCGATCATGCCGGAGGACACAACGCGGACCGACGTAAGTATTCCTGTCTATAATCCAGATCGCATTACTGAGAGACTAATAGCTGGTGTTTGTTAATAGACTCTCACTCCCTTGCAGACGCAGTATAAGGCCGAAAATAAAGTGCTATTTTGGCTTCTCATACTACTGGCCACCCTGGTTGCCCTGACGATACTGATCCTTTTACTCTGCTGTATATGCTCCTGGTGTCCTCTGTATGGCGCAGCAACGTAAGTAAAATGTAGATCGTAATGCTCTGAAAGGGCAATATAAAGATAATCCTATACTTTCACCCCTTGCTCCTTGAATCGGTAACTTAGTCTCGGTATTTGATTCGACACTGGAGAAGATACCATTCAAAGCCATACGAAATGCCAAAACGCTGTTGAAGCAACCAAAGACGTTATGCATTCCACATCGCGTGCACTAAAGTTTGACTTTTCAAATACTTTAAGAATTCTGTACACGTAAAAAAAAGACGATAAAAGATAATATTCATATTAAATTAAGAACGTTAACTTTTTTTAATAAGGAACGAATTATGAGGGAATAAGAATACTTTAAGCATTTATGTCAAAAACCCATTCAAGCCCACAATATAGGAGTATTGAGTAATTTTGTATTATAGAAATCATTTTTAATACACATACAATATATTTTAAAAATAATCAATGAAAGTATCTAAAACATTTTACCGTCACTGGGTATATTTTCCAAAAAATTAATCACTCTAGTATCGTACCCAAGACTAAGTACAGAGTTCAAAGTAGTGAGGAAAATATACATAAAAATATACCTTTAATGTGCATATCATTATTAACCATCGCAACAACACTCATTTCATATCTAATCGTTTACTCTTTTCTTGTAGCAAAAGAATAGTTAATATCAGTAGAACTGAAGACGATGTACATCTAGTGCATAGAGAAATGGCAAATGGAAACCATACAAAATCTGTTCAGGTAGATTTTGACCGATTTCAAATTCTTAGCATTTCGAAATATAGCAAACATCAAAAACTTCCAAATGGCAATGTTGTTAGTTAATTCACTGTTTAGTTTTCAATTAAATATCCACCCTTTTTTATTTCCATCAATAACCCTTTCATAAAGTACTTGCAATAACAGCTGCCCTTTATATCCAATTTTTATTTTCAAAATTAAACTGTATTCAGTTAATTTTTTTTTAATAGAACCTATTAGTTTACATATAATAATGTCCCAACCAACTTTCAGGTCGCAGAGTGGATGGGAAGACGAGAGGCTTGGTCCGCGGATAAGCCATCAGATACACGTACAAAACCTACCCGCTGGGAGTTCCGCGATGGACGTGAACAGCCTGAAAACGTAGAAATGCACCACGCAAGCGTCAACACCGATGCCGACGTAGTCCGGAACGCAGAGTCTCAGGAATACCAGCAGAGACGAGTCCGCATTAAGTACTGTTAAGATCTTCCAATCATTCCTGGATTGCAATCACAGATAAAATTATTTTTATTCTAGAAACAGTCTTACAACCAAAGAAGACACACATCATAGTTTTCATAATTCTAGAACCAATTTAATAAACGACCGAGACGTATATATTGAGGACGTAATGGACGACCAGAACTTAGTGCAAGTCAAGGAGGAGTTTTCTCGCAACAAACAGAGTAGACCATTGGAGCACAGTCGCTTGAAAAATTACGACTCGGACACCAGACAAATCGACGATGACTCCATGCGAAGACACGAAATAGACCGAGGAAGCGACATCGACTTTAATACTGCCCAGAATAGTCTAAAGAATAAGCGCGAACTTTTCATAAAGGACGGAAATGTCGAAATCCTGCAGCTTATGACACGGGACAAGACTCGGGACGGAACTGCACTAGACGATGACAATATATACGTCAATGTTCCCGTTAAATCATCTGCAAACCTCTCGCATCCACAACTGCTGATGGTGGACAATACGGGCAAAGAGATCCTGATGCGCCGGTTTATTGAAGAGCAGCCAGATGGGAAGCAGATAATTCGGGAACACTATCATATTGTACCAGGCGCAACTTATATTCAGTCAATGCCAAACGAAATACAAGGATCAACACTCAAGGGCGACACATTTCCCTTGGGCAAATCGGGACCAAACAGCATTGTCTACTCCCAAACCGAGCCTGAAGTCAAAGTCATACACACGCAGTCAGTTCAGGGAGCGGAGGACATATCCCAGCTCCAGCCCGTCGCGGCGAATCAGTCGCTTACACAGGAACTGGAGCACTCACTCAAGCAGCAAAATGCGCTTTTGCGTCAGATATTGCTGGAAAAAGAGAAACTAGAAACTAGATATACACAGCACGAAATTATCTTAGAAACACAAAGTCTTCCGGGCCAGTCGATGGCGATAGCGACCCAAACTGACTGCGACGCTGGCACCCAAACCGAGCAGACCGAGAATTTCAGTGCCAAGAAAATGGTCCACTCGCAGGCCCAAGTCGGCTCCACTCGTCGGCGAGCGCGCAGTGAGAATGACGACTCGCTGTCGGAAGACGAATACAAGTACGTGCGCTTTAGCCCCCCAAACAGTCCCGAAGGTGTGTATTGGATAAAGCGGCATCAACCCAAAAGGCGACTACGGCTGCGCGGCAGCTTGCAGCCTCGAAAGAGAATCGTGATGGTCGAAGAGGTGAAGCGCAAAATACGAACCCCCATAAAGGAGGAGGAGGAACTGCACGAGAAGAAGAGGCGAATGCCACCCAAGAAGCCACTCCGCGAGACAAAAACGAGTATTCTGCGGAAGCAGCTGAGTGACGAAAGCCGAAGAAGTGATGTGGCCAAAGAGTCCAATGGCAAGCACAAGTCGGAAGCGCTAAGCCGCGAGGTACTTATGGAAATATCGGACTCTCTGGATGAAAACGGAAGTCCCAGATCACGAAGAGGTGAACAGTATTACGATAATTTTGAGGGCGAAGTCGACGAAAATGATACTGAATACTCAGTTGATTCCGATGACGATGAGATTGTAATTAGAACCAACTCAAACTTATCAAGCTATGCATATACACGAAGTGTCTACACCAGGGCGTCTCAAGACTCTAGGCGCCATGAGCCACAAACGAAAAACTCATCCCACCAAAGTAGATCCGTAAACATTTCTCCATCAGAGCCACACGAAACACAGCCAGAGGCTAGGCCCAGACTTTCCCGTCGGGACAGTTCGAGGCGCAGTCAAAACTCCCGAAAGCAAACATCTTCGGAACCACCGCACCACCGTATTTCAGTTTCAAAGTACGAGATGCAAAGAGCCGAAAATGACAAAGAGCCGCATCATAATTCAGCTGATATAGTTGGATCCAAGCAATCCCTAAACGATCGACTGTACCAAAGTGAAACCGAATTGGCTGGCCGCGATGAATCAACTTCTCGAAACGTACCCAAATATATGGAGTGGTATTATAGTAAGAAGAAACCGTCTGTCAGCGGTCGAACTTCAACTGAGTCGTCAAAATCCCAGATGTCGGTCAAAAAGAAAACTTCTGCTACAGAGAAACGCATGACAAAAATGAGAATGAACTCGAAAGTCGAAGATCAGGCAAATGATGATGCGGCGAGATTCAAGCCGGAGCCCGCGCCTCGAAGATCTCCACCAAAGGGCAGTCGGCTGCTCAAAGAGGACAGAGCCTTGAATAAGCAGCACAAGCCCAAAACAGAGACTGATACGAATCATCCGCTGCTGCAGCATTCGGAGCATCGTTTCGAACGAGAGAACGCTCCGGAAGTGCCACCACCACCCACCAAGCTGCCACACTATATGTATCCCGAGACTCCGCCACATGCCGCACCACCGGACAAGGATCAGCATTCGCAGAAGCATAAGCCGAAGCCGTCTCCCATCAAGGAGAACGAAGTAAAGCTGACGAAGTCAAAAATAAATCTCTACGTGGAAGACCCCAATACCGCACACCTCCCATCTCATGCTCAAAAGCAACTGAATGCATCCACTCTCGAGGACGACCACGACTCGGGCATCGCCATGAACTCCCTTATGAATAGTATGGGACGCAGGAATCCTATAGCCGAAAAGAAAAGTGTCTTTTCGATTGCCTACGACGATGTGAGCCGCGTTAAGAAAATAGCATCAGGCGGAGAGTCTCCACAGTATTCATAAACAGACATTTTCAGTCTACAAATATATATACATAAACGTAAATATGTATATATATGTGTATGTGATAGCCTCTAAGGCTTTTAATCTTTGAAACGATAAATCGTCACACACTTGTACACAAACCGAGCCAAAGTGCTCGCCTCACAAATTGTATTGAACTGTACATATACATATCTATAAATACATACATCGCATATGGATAAGGGCGTGCAGACCTGTTGATATTTAGGATTATTACATAGTTTTTACTTTACGAAAGGCATCTAATAAATACTCGAATTACATCGACGATGACTCTTTATTATTAGTTATATTATGTGGCAAGAGCACAAACTACTTTTCACTAATGATTTAATCTCAATGCTTGAGCGGCAGGTGCTAAGAAAGGATTAACGTATTTTAATTTGCATACTCAATGTTTCATCTTACCATTGTGAAAATTATTCCTACTAGATTTATTTCCCAAAACTCATATGTAGGTTATTTCACTTAATAATTGTGTTCCTATTTTATACAGTATCAGACAAGCTAAGGACTTTATATTTTTATTTCTCGTACACCATGAAATCATCAGCAAAACCAGCAAGGCTTCAATGTTGCTGGCATTCTTATCCGATTCAATGACAAGAGGAGTTTTGAAAACTATATAAACTAAGGCTTTATATATTTTTAAAACTGCTAAATCAATTTAGTTTAAAGGTCTTCAATGTCAAGCATTTAATGCCTTTTGCCATAAATTGAGACTCGCTTCAAGAAACCGCCAATTGCTTAATTTTAATCTGCCACTTTGTAAGAGCTAATTATCGAATGCTTTACTCTTTTACTTTGGCTTTTCTGTAAAGATCAACGCTTAAATATTAAAGCCAATTTATAAACAAAAATCTACATTCTTCCAGCCATATATCATTTCAGATTTAAAGCACTTTTATCTGCTTTTATATTGTGAATAATTGAAGTATTATTTAACTGTTATTTGAATTGAAGTGAGATATTTAAAGTTAGTATAACTTAGATTTTGTGTACACCTGAATCCGTCAAGGAGCGTTGACTACGACCTACATATAGCCACTTTTTAAGTACTCTCAAGATATTGTAAATTTGAATTAAAACACATGAATAACTTTAAGTACCATGCGACCAGAATTCCCGGACCACTCACACTTTGCATTTATGTATATGAATAATGTATGCATGTTTCGTGATTACTCTTAAAATATGATCAGGAGTTGTTGGCTTTAGTGTGTCAGTCCCGAAATAATCGCCGAAAATTACTTTCGTAATAACTGCCATATTGACATAATAAATATGATCAAATGACCACAATCAGATCAGATCAGATTCTTGTATATACAGATTTACAAATAAGTTCTAGGAAAACATGCTGTCAGATTATTTTGTACATATTCGTTGTAGGAATAAACATTTATGATAAAAGCACCGATTTACTTAACACTCTATATAAATTATATTTATATTTAAATTTAATACACAATATGTTTGAGTTAAACAAAAATAAAGACCATATATAACTTTTATAACCGATTATTGACTATTTTCATTCAACGTGCCAACTACATACATTATGTGGTTGCTTGCTCTAGAATCTTTAAAAATTAAGTACGTTTATGTCGAATGCGACCCATCGCTTAAAAAATCAATAATTTTGGATATGCCATGTCCTAATGAGCGGATTATGAATAAAGGTAAAATAGATTACGGCGGCTTTCTGAACTATCTATTTATGAGGATTGGACCCAGATTCAAGAGGCGTAAGAATTCCGTGCATACAATAACGAATAATAAAATGGTGAAACCGTAACATTTTAAAATAAACATAGTAAACGCGATTTTCTTCCATATTTTCCAATACGCATCTATTACTAGACATAGATAGTACAATTAAATAACTTAAGAGTTTAAACAGTTTTTGTTAAAATATTACACAAAATTTAATTTTATTTAAGATATTGTAAATGTTTTTATTGTATATAGACGTTAAATGGAATAAATAAATTATTAGAGTTTCTCATATATTTTTATAAATATTTATCAAAGCTTAAAAGTAATGTTCATTTGTTGTCGACGACTTCAAAGCAAAAACTGCATCAATCGACTCGTAATGTTGTGTTTGAACTGCGTTTTTAGGTCATTATGGTGGTCGGTTTGAAGAGGAAACACATTCCGTAAAAGTTTGATTATTAAAGGCCATTTTTAAAATTGCTTGGCACTAGAAGTAAAAGAGTTTTCTGAAACGTAAATATATAATCTATTTATAAATGATGAAAATTCATTATCATAAATAATAGGTGAAATAAAACTATTACCATCATAAATACCTCTTAAATTATTAATTTAGGCCATTTTTAATCTTGTCGTACGTATTTTTAAACCCGTCTTGAAGGTCATTTTTAATCTTGTTGACATCATGGTCATCCTGCTCATGGTAGTAAAAGAAATACACCAGCAATCCAACAATAACAATGACCACAAAGAATGCACTGATTATCGACAGTAGCATACTAAGTGCGCAACTGAAGCAGCTGAAAGTAAGGAGGAGATAAATATCAATCGATCAGCTGGAGAATCTACATATATATAAGAGAGTTGTGTAAAAGTGTCCAAGCACTTATAACTCGAGATCTGCTGGACMRATTTTCATGGWTTTTGATTTGTTGKATTTGTCTCCGCCACGAGTAGGTCAGTAGATCTTTAAAATACTGAACAAATTTGACAAATACTTGAAAAACGCGGTTTTTTCCCTAAAGATTCAAATTTCCATTTATACTCAGTAGCCTTGACAACAGTGACAGTTTCGGTCCTGTATAGAAGTAAATAAACAAATGTAGTCAGTCAGTCTACGGCACAGCCTCGAGCAGACCTGACTATTCAACAAAAAAAAAACAAGTAAGAAAGCTCTAGTCGAGACTGCTCGACTACGAGATCCCCTGAACCCTTGGAGTGCACTATAGGAAAAAAGCCCGAAATTTTGGCATCAATTCTAAAAATAGAGCTGTTAGCTATTTCAATAATTTTTCGCGTCTTTCACACGCACGTACGCACACACAGGCATACATACACACACACGCATACAGACACAAACGCATACACACACTTACATACACACACACATACACAAACACATACACACANTTTTTTTTTTTTTTTTTTTATATCACTTTGCAAGATTTAGTTAGATTTAAATTGTATATACAATTTTTATATATTAGGGAAAATAAATTAAATTTTACCCATTTATAATTGCTATGGAGAGTAACGAATTAATTAACAATTATTCCCCCTGTTTTTTAATTATTACTATAATTTTACAAAGACAAATTTTAAGTTTAATTTTTTGATTATAAAGTAACAGGGCATGCCATGATGACTTTTGATCCTGATAAGCAATTTACATATCTATCTACTTTATGAGGTCGTAGGCGGGGGCTTCTATAAATTACGCACTCTGTGGCAAACAAAATAAAATAAATAAAGAATGTGGGTGATATAAAACTAGAAATGATATACAGTAAATTCTACCCTTGGGCACGCGAGCTTGTTGTTTCCTGGGCGCTTATGCATAAAAATGTCAAATTGGTGCCCAGCTGTCGGCCAACTGAATATTATCCTGGGTGTGTGCTACCACGAAGGATAGCAGCACAAATAGTAAAACATCATTATGCTGTCTCGCCTGAGTGGAGCCGAGACGAGCTGGAGCCAAGCGAATACGCAATACGCATTTGTAATAGAGATACCAAAGCATACTGTATGTATACATACAAATATAACTGTGAGAAACGAGGGTGACAGTACTCTGGCAATTAGTATATATAATATATGTATGTATGTATTCATAGTTAGCCCATATTTACTCTCCTGCAATAATGTTGCATTGTCATGAAACCGGATTAGCAATTTCTGTGCGATGAATAATTTTCTATTTTAATTATATAAATAACCACAGTGTTCCAAATTTCCATTTGAATTTAGCGTGGTATGAATATTACAACATTGGCCGATCATCAAAAGTTTAGTAGGCTAATAAGCTAATAACATTAGCATTTATACTCATTTATAACATGTCAGATTTACTTTGATAAAAACAATCAACTAATTTATTCAACACAACTATATATATTTTTTTTGATAATATTTATCATAATTACAAGTAGTTAACCTATGAAGTTTCTACATATAATTCATATTCAAATATAGAACAAGCAAGATAATATGGAAAGAAAAACAACTGTAATGAATAATACTATTACGAATTTAATTATTAAGAAAATTATACATGATAGAAATACATTGCAATCGCAACCGTTCAAGAATACATGCATGTTCCAATTTTAACACCGATAGTTGTATAATTTTTGAAGATTTAGCCCTACTCTTTGAATTGTTGATCGTTCTCTGTATACTTACAAACTGTAATTGTTCCCATCACTGACTGGTATTATAGCAATAATGCTTCCAATAACGCCGGTCCATTCGAATATATACATACATACAATTCTGATATATTATATATTTCAGCTTGTAACATTACATTACATTACATTACTCTTAAGAAATGTAGGCTACTAATATTCATACGATACTTGTCTATGTATAGGTTTCTGTGAACATTTAATACCCCTGTCTCGCCATCTCACTGGTATTTTTCTGTTTATGTATCCGAATAAAGAACTGGATATAAAAACATATCTGTTTACTTTTCTTATCTAAATTATAAATCTCTTCTTATACGCGTATGTATATTCAGATGTATAAGATAGTCAGGAAAGAGATTGTTTAATCCAATTAAACAAAATACTTAAATCATTAATAATGAATAAAACGCAATACACACTCTACGATCATAGGTTTTAATTCATTTTACAAATATTAAAGTATATGTTTGTTACTGTGCATGTATGATGTATTTATTTACTGCATTATAAGTACATACATATGTATGTATGTTTATGTATATTATGCATGTGCAGAGATTCGTCTGTGTATGCTCTCTAGAATAATGCGTTACATACAAATATCCAAGTACGCAGACGTTTTGTATTCATGGATGCACGTACATACGTATTGTATGTACATACATACTAAACAGACTAATTTGCAAAACATTTGTATTAAATTAAACTTACCAGCATGCAACGTTTCCGGCTAAGCATTTGCACATCTTTAGTTATTTATTTAATCTTAATTGAAGTTAAGTAAATTAGCAGCTGCGTTTTTCGGAAGAACTCAGCGAACGTACAAACGTAAAGCGTGTATGTATATTCCAACTTCGTGCACTCTCGCAACAAAACACAACGCACCACGCCTGAGGATGTGGAGACACTGACACCGAAAACTGTCTGGTAGCTACTCGGCGTTTTGTGAGAGAGATGGCGGTATGTATGCATACTCACCTGAATACATACATATATACATATATTCGCATATGTACTACGGTTTAGTGATCGGAGGCATGGCATAATAATAGAAGGTTGACTCGTGCGACTTTACTTTTAAGATACGCTCAAATAATTGTTTTGTTTTTGTATATTAATTGTACAAATTTATGCACAGCAAGTATATTTATATGGTACATATCAAAATAAATTTATATATGTATAATTGTCCTATCTGTTTGTTAATTTTATACACATGCAGATCAATTTTTTTCTATATATGTATGAAGAAAAATATATAAGTTATAATTTAATACCAAGCATATACATACATAAGTAGATCAGTAAATTTAAGAGAATAGACAAAAGTACCACGTTCACAAAAGTACCACGTAATTAGGGTACAATGTACCCAATGATGTGGATTGTGTTTCGGTACATAAACAGTATTGCGTTTGTTACCAGTGTGAGTGCTGCCAGACTGATTCAAATGAAACAAAGAACGCCAACTAGAAATAAAGGACAAAGCACAAGTGGGTTTGAAACTTGAAGTACCAACTGTGGTAAGTTAATTTATTTACCATCTCGGACACCACCACCCCGATTTCGACAAATGGTAAAAACTCAATTTTTTTTCTATTTCAAATACATGTTTATTCAAATTGATATTTATTACCGATATGGTCAAATGTCTGAAAATTGAGTATTTATTTCAATTTTTTTTAAATAGATTGACACATGAAAAAAGTGTTGAAATTTTTCCTTAAAAATAGTTTACACAGTTCAATAATAAAAATTGTGATTAGAATAATATACTAAATGCTGGACGTGTGTGTTTTATTGCAAATCAATTAACTCCAAAATTCTGTTGTATAGTGTAATTTGTATAGACGAAGGAGTCTAACAAATCGGGTACTATGTGTATTTGTATATGTGTATATACATACCACACACACACCCATATTTCTGTATATGTAAGGTATAAGTGCTGCGCCTGCGAATGCTATGAAAATGGTGGGAATCGTTGAGCGATGGAACGGCTATAGGAAGTTTATGCTTTGAGCCTTATTTGTGTGTACTTGCATACAACTACAGCTTTATGCGTGCCTGGTAGATGTTGAGCAAATCGATGGCCACAAATAAGTTTTTTATTATCGATTTAATTGGTTACAAATTTGTGTTCATTGATGACAGATGAATCATAACAAAATTAACGGTGTTTAAAACCTTGAAACACTCCATTTTATGTATAAGTATAATTTTCGTCCTTTATGGCTATTATTACTTAATAATTTAAGTAACCTTTCTTTCTCAACTTAAACTTTATAGCCAATCAAAATTGAGTCCAGGTATGTGCATTTGTCTATTTGTCATAAATAACAGAAATATCTTTTTATATCTAAGCATTTCTCGCAGAATAACTCCTTTTCTGGTACTACTTATAGAACAGACTTTCTTGATTAAAGATGTAACTTTAAATGAAGTACAGGACATTTATTCGACTTTTTGAGTAAACGTTTTTTTGTTTTCCTTTTTCCAATAAATATTTCAGCTAAAATGATTTTCGAATTTATAAATATTAAATTGTTCCCGTTCCTTAATCTTAATAAAAAATTTTATCTAGTATATAATTAAAAATCGGTCTTCAATTATATCAAACTCAAAACATAATGTGAAGGAAAAAAAAATAATGAATTCCAAATTGATTTGTGTAACCGCTTATAGACATCTTGCTTGCAGCTATGATTAAAACTAATTCGTTTATATATCGATATATCGATGTATCGACGCATGCAACTTTGTATTTGATGTATTGAAAATAGAGGAAATCAAGCCAAAAGCAGCAGATGAAATCGATGCCAACATTAATTGAAATTGAAGATAATTACGATCATATGGAAAATGTGGAGTATATTTTAGAAAATGTCCTCATGCCTGACGATGGGAGTCTAGAGTTCAGACACCTACAGGATGACTACAATTCGCAACTGACATTATCATGTAAATGCTCAAACAACAATTGCTGCAATAACATTGATTTTTGTCACAAGGGCGGACTAAAATACATGCGTGTGAAGGGCGAATTGGTGGTCATTCCAAATGAAAGTCAACAATTTCGATCTATCCTTGAATGCAACGAACTCTGCGAATGCCAAATTAGCAAATGTCTGAATCGTCGAGTGCAGTACGGCCCACGCCAAAAACTAGAGGTTTTTGAATCGCCATTATACAAATCGAAGGGCTTACGTACTACCGCATATATCCCTAGTGGGGCTTTCATCTGTGAATATGCAGGGGAGCTTTTGACTCTATCTGAAGCTCAAAAGCGCATACAAATTATTGATGAAAATAGTCAAATGAATTACATTTTATGCCTTTATGAGCATTCTAAGACACGGTTAATTACGATTGTAGATCCCTCTAAACGCGGAAATATAGGTCGCTATCTGAACCATAGCTGTCAACCTAATTGCAAGATTTTACCTGTCCGAACCAACTGCCCCATACCAAAAATTGGTGAGAGATTAGTCTGCCCGCTAATTAAATTTTTAATATTTGCTTGAATCTGTTTTAGGGATCTTTGCTAAACGTGATATATTGGCCAATGAAGAATTATGTTTTCACTATGCTGGGGGAGACAGTTATAATGGAATGCTCAATGGAAAACCTTGTCTATGCGGTTCCACCTATTGCAACGGATTCATTCCAAATACACAAATTTAGAATTAAAATCAACTTATACCAATTCATAACATTTATTCCAGATAAATGGGAACTACATTTCATCAAAGTTTATTGGCGATTTCAGTACTTAAGGGCGGAAGCTTTTTAGCTATCCATTCCTGTAGGTCGAGAAGGGAGCTTCTTTTCAGTTCATGCAGTGTGTTCTTTAGAGGTGTAAATGTGCCAGTTACACCCAATTTTTGTAGGGACTCAAATGTCTCAAGCCCCCATTCCAGAGGAACCAATGTATCGCGCTCACCGTGGTACATACGAAGTTCCGGCAGTGTACTTTGTGTTGGTTTTTGGCTTTCCAGAGATTCGTAGACTATCGACTTGCGATTAAGGAAAGATGAGTGCGCAAATACTCCTGCCAGACCAGTATTAAGATGGTAACCGGCGTGTAAAGCTAAGGCCCCGCCCATTGAAAACCCACCTACAATTATGCGATTCAGAGGTATGCCAAGGTCTACTTCATCCTGGATTAACTTATTCACAATCTCATAGCTCTGGGCCATGCTCTTTCGGCTTTCTTGAGCTGCGATATTCACTGATCGTCGATCGAACCAAACTGTGGAAAGCTGCCCATTTAACGGAGTATACTTTTGCGTTGGAGCTGTTGGGTATATCAATTTGATGTGCGAAAGGTCAAAATCTCGGCCAAGTAAGAAGCGGACCCATTCTATTAGATTCGGTCCGGTATCACCGGAGCCGTGGAAGAATATCACAGATGCGCTGTGTTTTCGTATAGATGCCGCCATAATCAACTTGTAAATGCAAATATCTTAATATGCTATGCGCTGAAAAGTATTATGCACATTAATAAAATCACAAGGAAAAATAAGGTATGGCTATTTCTATAAAATACGAATTTGCTTATAATTTGTATTAATAAAATACTGAAAAAGCAGAGCCTTTAATCTTGAGCCATTTTATCATTAATATATAATAGATACAAGAAATTGAAATGTGATTTGGAATTTGGGAGCATTTTAAAATAATTGCTTGATATTTTATATATTCTTTAGATGACAAATATGAAAAATAACACGCAATTTTGAGCTAAAAACATTTATAAAAATAAAATAAAAATTCGAGGAATACCCATATGGTATTTTGGATTATATGGTCACTCTGAAATGTTAGTTGAGACTTGCGTCGAGTCGTGGTCGTGAGTGTTGCAGACGAATAATAACAAACGGTATTATTATTTACAAATAAAATGTAATTAAATGCAAAAGAGTATATTATTTTCAGAGTGATTTATTATTTGAACATTTTACAATCAATTCAAAATAAAAAATCTTTGATGTGCACTAAATCATTGGAAATAATGAGGCAAAAGTTACCATCTTATTGACTAATTTATCAGCTGTTTGATACACATAACAAAATTAAACAATTTTTGTACACGTGATAGCAATACATTCGCAGAATTTATGTTGGCAGCATAATTAAAAATTAATACAATACCGCCAATATTACAGACAACAGGCAGATAGAGTAATTCACGGGTTCAAGATTATCTGCAAACGAATTGAGAAAATCAACAAGTTGTTGGCGGTTGGTTAGGCAAGCCTGCAGCAATTACAGCTGTAATGTACATTCATATGGACATTTCCATATTACAACGTCTTTACAGTAATAATAACAAATGTTGTTTCGCTCTCCGCTGTACTATTTATTTTTATCTCAGGCATTTGTTTATGCATACGTATGTGTATGTAAATACCGCACATGTATGTATGCAAATGAACATGTGTGCATTTGTGCCTGCTCAGCATGATTTGACACTATTTCTCTCTCTCTTTCATTCCCACTATGTGTGTATTTGTGTTTATCGCACATTTGGTTGAGATAACGTGAAGGGAACTCCTCGCGCTCAAGATAGGCGTATTTTATGCAGACTCATTCTAATAGCGCGTCACTTTAGTATGTGTGTATGTGTGTTATATGTGCGTTTGCAATACATATGGCCGCATTTCCGGCACGTAGCTAAATTAAATAAATATATGAATATAAAAATATACAAATTTTAAAATTTATGAAAACGGCTTTAGTGGACTATAATATTGGTTAGTCTTTATTAAATCTATTGATTAATTGTACATAATTCTGAAGATCTTTAAGCAATAAATACTAAATAAACCAGTCCATTAATAATAATGATTTCATAAATAAATAATGATTTCGCATAAAACAAAACAATTCGAATATCCCAAAGACTAATATACCTAACAAAAATCTGCGAATGCTATGATATATCTTGTTTGTGTCGGTATATAATATTTACGTATGTACATATATATATTGTAGGTTCCTTTAAAAATTTTTCTCAAGTTTACAAATACATAACTATTTAACAGATTTTAGTTGAGTCAACTTTGTTAATCATTTTGTTGACTCACAACTTATGATGGTTTTTTGCTATATAAGTTTAACGTTCATTTTTCGTTTTGAATCATGACATTGCATTTTACTTTTAATATATGCTTGAACATTTAATACCCTATAGTTATCCCGATTTATCAACAAAAAATATATTCAAATCTGTCAGATAATATCTTGAAAATCCTTTCTTTTTTTATTATCTCTCTAGACCAATCTAAATTTGAAAAACTTTAATTGTTTTAGCAGATTTGATAAATAGATAATAATCTTAAATTTAACAGTTAGAAGGTATCTTGTAAACGTACCCCATCCATTCCATTGCTGCCTGTCACCTGCTACCAGTTGTGTAGATATGTATTGAGAAGATGACATTGCAGAAATTTGTTCACTTCGATTCCGGCGTACGCACAATCAGTCAATGTCGAAGGTGCTAGCTCATTAAGCTGATCTCTTTGAAATCGTGTGGTGATAGTTTTCATTTCCCTACTGCGCACTGAACTATGAGCTACAGTTATGAACCCACTGAGCAACACCCAAACAGAAGAGGTTATAAAATTAAATTTAAATTGAAAACAACGTAAGATATACATAGTGTAAATTAAATGTGTACAAAGTCAAAATGAAATCATAGTGATATTTTAGAGTCTACTATCTAGAGTCGCGGATTTGAACTAAAATTGAAACATCTTAGAATGTAAAAAACAATCCATTCTAAGAAGCAAAATTTTTGTTTGTGTATTTTTTTTCTTGTATTTGGACTTTGTGCACACCTGGGGTAGCGCTGACTGGTCTTATCGCCAAATTTTCTGTTTAGAACGACAACGCGGTCGCGCTGCTACAAATCCGAATTATACACAAAGTAGAAAAATCTAGTCGGGTGGATGCAGCTTTTTATACCCTGAACCCATTTTCAATGGGAAATCAGGGTATAATGGTTTTGTTGAAATGTATGTAACAGGGAGAAGGAGGCGTGGCAGACCCCACAAAGTATATATATTCTTGATCAGGGCGACGAGCTGAGTTGATTTGGCCCTGTCCGTCTGTCTGTCCGTCTGTCCGTCTGTCCGTC